AATAGACAAGACGTTGGATAATGTCCAAAAACATAATACTTGTAGCAATTTACCATCGTCACAAACTTTTAGATCTTGCCTTTATAACAAGCATAATTTATTCTGATAAAAGTATTGCATGTGAAGAACCATTATACAGTCGATTCTGAGAATAAGGTTTGCTTAATTGTGTGTATTTCTATTAAAAATAAAATTATATATTAACCCACGATGACACATCAAGAGGATTAACACGTGTATTTCTATACCTTCGATGTTGAGGCGTGCCGAAGTAAACCTTCTACGCACTGCTTACTTACTTACTTACTTACTTACTCGTGGAGCTGAGCCTTTCTGGAGAAGCCGCCAATTCTGCAGCTACTCAAGAAATTCCCAGCATTTTATAGAACCCGAAGGTTCATCACCGTGTTCACAAGAGCCCTCTCTATGCACTGCTATGTTTCTTAATTCTCCTTCCGTTTCAGACTGACAGCGCCCCACGAATGTAAATCCGTTTCATGCTCTCTTAGATCTGAAACTCTCACAGAGGTCACTATCATCTGGAATATAATGCCGTGTAGTCCGATACAAGCAGCTCCCTAATTGCTGCCTGCTTCCTACTGGTGTCTTGTATGTCTTACTTTTCGACCTTGAAGATAGAGGCTGTATTTGCCTCTCAAATGTCGATTAGCAATCACCGAACTACACCGCGTTATATTCCAGAAGACATAACCCTTCCGGAGCATATTCGTTAAAAAAAATAAGTTTTTGGAAACTTTAATCCATGTATCAAATTGTATTCAGGATCAAAATACACGTTCATTATCTCTTATCCTGCTCTATGTGTGCCAGCTTAGGAAGCAAAAGTTTCAGTGCTCACGATTTTAAGAACACTTTGGGCTATATTAAAATGAATTAGAAACGAAGAAGTCGTACTCACAAGCCTTTGGATCGATCACACTCGCTCAACATATGGACAATTTTTGTGTTTAGACTCGGCACTGTTCCCATGTACATGGTTTGGTGTACACTGATCGTTTTTCATGTCCTGGGAGAATGTCCACGTTAACACGAAGTACACAATACGTTCCATCTTCATGGCACATCGATTGACGTCTTTCGTGATGATCGAAGTAACGTGACAAAGTCCACTCGTATTACACTAAAACTGTTTTATTCTTATGATTGACTCTGTTTGTATCACTGTTTTAGGTTTTCACTTATGGGTTCATACACACACTGTTATATTTCCAATTTTTAACACAACCGTTTATATATGTTTGATTTTGCAGGTTTATCCATATACATTCTGACAACTACACAACCTTATTTATTTTTACACTGGGATAAATATTGAACTTTTCAACTTTAATATTATCCACGCACAAAGAGCCATAAACACTGATGTGCCTTTAAACAACACACACACACACTCTGAGTTCTATATTTCGGGGACTGTTGTTAAGAGTAAGTACTTTAGTTCTCTTCAATTTCCCGTTCAGAAAGTGAAACACTGTGGTACGTATATAAAACGTTCTAAGGATAATAATGACTCAGTTTACCTGGATCATGATAATTCCAATAAATGTTCTTCTTTTCCATTTTTGTCTCCTAACTTACCGTTCAGGGATTTCGAAATGGAAAGTTATGTCCAAAATATTATCCAGTATTTGAACCAAGTGAACTTGACGGCTTTTATTATTTTCACTGCTAGCAGTTTCCAGTCGGGCACCACGTGTCTTTATCAGCTCCTTTCGCATTATGTTCATTTGCCCTAAGCTCAGAGTTGTTGCTGGGAAACACAAATATCACACACAAAAAAACATAAATTACGAATATCTTCCGTTATATTTCGTTGTGTATTCATCGTATCTAAGACCGCCTTTGTGGTCTAGTGGTCAGAGTTCCTGTCTAAAGATCCAGAGGTCCGGGTTAGATTCCCGATCCTACCAGATTTTCTGAGAAGTTGTGAGTCTGGAACGCGGTCCACTCAGCCTCGAGAGGATAATTGAGGAGTTATTTTAAGGAAATAGCGACTCCGGTCTAGAAAACCGAAAATTAACGGCCGTGAGGGTTCGTTGCGCTGATGACACGACACCCTCTATCCGCAAAAGTTGGCGCTAACTTCGCCGACAAGCGTCGGTCGCTCGGTCGGTATAGTTTGCTTGTGGACTAAAACCAAGGAGTTTGTTTTATCGTATCTAAATCTAGTAAAAAAACAAGCTGCATATCATGAAATGGTGTGTTTTTTAAAACTTACCCCAGTTTCTTTTTCAATGAGCAATATGTCAAGTTTATAACCTTGATTTGAGGTTCGCGAATACACTGAATTCACAAGAAAATGAATTTCGTTTCCCTGAAAATATTTCTTATACATTTTGTAAAAAACCTTGGTCGGAATGAGTTCTGTAGTTGGGGAGACAGCAGATTATGTACAGACGCATGGATATATGGACACTGCTTCCCTGCATGTGTTCGCTGCATATATAGAATATGTACATATAAAATAAGTAAGTAGAACAAAGACTTTAATTGACGCAAGTAAAGGGGTTGGTCTAGAAGTAAACACAGAGAAAACTAAGTATATGTTACTGTCTCGTCACCAAAATGCAGGGCAAAATCATGACATAAAGGTAGGAAACAGATGTTTTGAAAATGTGACACAGTTCAGATATTTGGGAACAACGATAACAGATCGAAATATGATTCAGGAGGAAATTAAGTTGAGATTGAACTTGGGTAATGCTTGCTACCATTCAGTCCAGACCCTTTTGTCTTCTCGTGTGCTGTCCAAAAACATAAAAATTAGAATATACAGAATTATAATTATTCCTGTGGTTGTGTATGGATGTGAAACTTGGTCTCTGACAATAAGGGAGGAACATAGACTGAGGGTGTTTGAGAACAGGGTGTTGAGGAAACTATATCGACCAAAGAGAGATGAAGTGACAGGAAGTTGGAGAAAACTGCATAATGAGGAGCTTCATAACTTGTACTCTTATCCAAGTATAATTAGAATGTTCAAGTCAAGGAGAATGAGGTGGGCAGGTCATGTAGCACGAATGGGGGCGACGAGGAATGAGTATAGGATATTGGTGGGAAAGCTAGAAGGAAAGAGACCACAGCGACGACCAAGGCGTAGGTGGGTGGACAATAGTAGAATGGATCTTAGAGAGATAGAATGGGATGGGATGGATTGGCTTGATTTGGCTCAGAATAGTTACCAGTGGAGGGCACTTGTGAACACGGCAATGAACCTTCGGGTTCCCTAAAATGCTGGAAATTCTTGAGTAGCTGCAGAATTGGCGGATCCTCAAGAAGAGCTCAGCACCATGAGTAAGTAAGTAAGTAAGTAAGTAGAACAAAGAAGTCAATAAAGTAGGCAGGACAGTGATTTTAGGAATGGTTAATATTATAAGGGAAAATACAGACTGAAATTATCCCAACTTTATACAACCTCAGAACATAACACTAATGGAAGTAACATCTGTTTATGTTTCAGGATGTCACGAAATTGTACAGAGCCCTCCCTAACGCGGTTGGTCTCTTCCGAGTTCCACTGTCCACATTCGGTCACTTCGACTTCTTGTGGGGACTCGACGCAAATAACTTATTGTACGACTTTGTCATCAGCCTCATGAAGAGATTCTGACATTTGGATTCCTCACTGCCTGTTTTAACTGCCTGTATTACGTAAAGCTATAGAAGCTCATGTGTGTGTATTTATCTGCATGTGAATTGAACGTGGAGAGAGCTCCGAGGAGGGTGTATCCAGCACAAAGAGGCCAGGAGTATATTTTAACCTAAGAAAGAGGAAGGCACAGAAAATTACAGAGTGAAGTGCAATACAATTTGTGCTCTTCACGTAATAACTTCATGCAGTTAAGGATAATGTGACGAGTAGGACATATATCACATAAAAAGGATACAAGAAATGCCTACAAAATATAGTTTGAAGATCCAAAGAATGAACGACTTAGGAGACCTAGACTTAGGTCTCTGGTTATTAATATGGATCTTAGATAAATGGGGAGAGTCATTATGGGCAGAAACCAATTTATTCGGGAGAGAGTCTAGTGGCAGGATTTTGTGTAAGAAGTTTGGGTTCTCTGAAAATCGAGATTTAGTTGACCAGCTGAGCAACTGTCATTTTTAACTGAAGGCCCACAGCCATGGAGCTCACTTTTTTCTAGTTATCTAGATTATTAGAAAATTGATTAGAGCGTAGAGGGACGACGTATCTGTAATTCAGATGGTGTGATTATGTGTTTGTGTTTTGAGGAAGGGGCTACTCTTTCTGAGGAAAATGTTTCACATATTTCTGTTGGTAGTACAAACGGTTGGAATAAGATATTCGCAAGGCGTGTTGTGTCCATGCTAGTGAAATTTTCTGAAGCAGTATGACAGAGTCTTCTTCGTTGAAACATTTCCTTGATTCGAGCGATGATAATTCCTATTAATATAGTAGGTTACGAGCCATACACTGGTACGGAATCTGTCAATCTAATTTAAGTGTGTAGTCAGTTAATTTATCTACTCTCATGCTACAAACCGGAAGGTCGGTGGTTCAAGTCCCGATGAGGTCATTATATTTTATAATTGACTTAATCCTTCCAGCCGCACTATGGCCCTGGGGTCGACTCAGCCTCTAACAGAAATGAGTACCATGAATATTATTTTAATATTCTTGGGGATAAAGGGCGGTCGGTGCGTAGGGCTGACAACTTCCCGCCATCTATGAGCCGAGAAAATGTGGGAACCTCAACGTCTCACAACCCTATGGGCCTTCACGGCCTCTTACAGGGATACCTTTATTCTTTTTTTACATAATGACAAATAATATTCTGCCTCACGCACATAAGAGCGCTAAATATGCAAGTTTTGAGTTTCACCTGAAAATCTCACTTCATCAGGAATAGTGAGCAGGTTTTCCGTTTCGTCTTTCGTCACTCGTCTTGCAATTTGTAGTCATACAGTCTAGATCCTGAGAGCGTCATAAAATAAACCAACAAAAAGATCTGGGATATTCACAAAGTAGGCCTATCGCCAACTGAACTCAGGACGCATTCTTCATAAAATATCCTGTTATGTTTCCACGTAATCGTGCTAATATTGTAACTGTCCTCTGTGCTGTTAAATTTGCACGTAAATAAACAAGAATTTAATTGAAATAATTTAATTGAATTATCATCATCATATCTTATAGCAGAGGGTGTTCCTGATACTTCCCTTATTGTAAAAGAAAAGCGATACGGAGTATACATTCTACATGGCAAACGGCGGTTCTACTTAAAGAGTGGGGTTCACGTGAAATATCTGCAGCTGGACAGGGATGAAAACACCCCCGTTCGTCCTCTCAGATTCGCTTCAACATCTGAGACTGGTAATAAATTTGTATCCTTCTTCCTGCACTATCTGAGAAAGATTACTCTGTACCCAACTGATGACGGTCCGACTAAATGATGTCTGTACCAACAATATAACTGGAAACCTCTTTGAAACGCTTCTGAAATTATCTGAGGAAACTGGGGAGCTACGTAAGTGTAATGAAATCTTGAGGGGAAAAAAAATATAAATTATCTCAGCAACCGAACGAACCAGTGCCTTATATGCAAATCATTGAAGCGGCGTGATGTGACGTCATCAGCGGCTCCGAGGAACAACGCTTTGTCAGCTGGCAGTGTCTTGCTCCCCAGGAATCCGCTGCTGTCTGCTGATTTTGAGACCAACAGCAATGGCTGGACTCAAGTATCTGACGTGCCTGCTCCTCTGACTATCAGTGACGGCTTCACAACCTTAAACAGGGCAAGAGCTAGGAGAGAACCTCTAGCACGTCAGCACTCCACTTTTGTCCGCTAGCTGGTTTGCCAAGTGCTTTGGGGCTTTGGGGTCACCTGTGTTGCGATAATCCTCACCCCTCACTGCTGCTACCACAAGACTTTTTCTTGTTAGCACTGTGGCCACCTTCCGCAAGCTCTCTGTGGAACGGGTAGGTTAAATTGGGAGGCAGGGAGTGAAATTTGGGCGCCAGTCCGCGTACGTCAGTAGCTTACAGCTGAAAGATAACCGGGCAGGTGAGTCTTGAGTCTGTCCGGCCTTCTCAGGGAAAGCACAAATAGCGATAGAACAGAGGGGGACACCAGAGATCAATCTCGTACATAATTGTGTCATAGTATCAGATAAGTGTAAGTCCCTATTCAGTACCAAACTTACATCGCTTTCAGTGTCATAACTCAGTAGACTGAACTCCCAATAGACAAAATGTGTCATTAACGTTTTAAAACATGAATTTTATCCAAATACAATTCAGTTTCTACCTCAAAGGAAGCAAAATGTGTCTCCGATACAGCTACCGACTAGTTAATATTATTTATATGAACATGGGAGAATGTTAAGAAACACATAATGTACTCTATGGAGAAAAATGAAGAATTTGTGAATGTTGAAGAATGTGGTGTCCATAGTAATCACTGTGCTGCTACAACTAGCATACACTATTTCAACTAAAGATAGAGAAAAGACACCACAAAATTAATATTCCCATGGAGAGGCATACTTGCGAAATTGATAGTAAGTAGTTCAGCTGTCGTGTTCACAAGAATCTGCCACTAGTCCCTACACCGAGTCAGCTGAATCCACGCCACCTTCTGGAACTCAACTTATTTGAAGTCAATTTTGACAGTATCTTTCCATCTAATCGTAAACCTCTCCCTCGCGTTAGATCTGTTCCCATAAAACTTTGTATGCCTTTCTAACATACCCATGAATGCTTCCAGGCTCACAATTTTATTTTCGTCTTTTTGCTCTTAAGCAAAAATTATGGTTGGTTACTCCTTTTTGCATGTCAGTGTAGAACTAAACGCCCTCTGTGGTTAGATTGCGTAGCGTCAATTGTAGGATGACACAAACTAATTTGGAAGGGAGTGGTCTTGGTATACCTCCTCCAAAATTTTAAGAACTGATGTAGAAGTTCATGGTTAATGTGACAATCACGAAACACTGGCAATCCAGAAATTATAGGCAAACATATAATGACCTCAGAATTCTATCTTATTTCCTCGCTATCGAATTCAGACATCAACTCGCCTGTTCTGGGTCACATGTGTTCCGAACTTTGCTCTGAGATCGCTGTGCCAACATAAAGATGCATCAGTACATTTCGCAGCGATGTCGAGTTGCCTTGAAACACAACCGCGTGTATGCATTGCTTTCCTTAAGAAGAATAGGCGAGGAAAATGATACTTGCAGTGTGGGGAAAATCTCTTGCTTACGTGTGCTTCCTAACCCTGCTTCTACGCGGTGTTACTGGAAAATATAACAAAAATACGAGGAAATCATTGCCTGCCATGGTAAAGTATTCTGCTTAGATATGTATGGAAATTTTTCCGTATCTTTGGCACTGGAAACTTGAATAAATCTTACATATTTATTATTCATTTTAATCTTACAACAACTGAACACTATGGACAGCTTAATAAATATTTTGTTTACCTCTGCCCTTCCATGAGAATTCTGAAAGAGGTACTTAAAATTTCCCATTATTACAATTTTTCTGAGGTCTGTATTTACGATATATTGGAAGTCGGTTTAATCTGGTTTTTCATGATACTGGTTTCGAGATCATTTTATTTCTTCTAATTTTGTTATTAGTGGCAATGTTCGTGATCGAACTCGAGCCCTCTTTAATAAAATTCCTACATTTAGTTGCTGTCGGTACACACTAGTGAAAACCCATCATCCAAAGCCTAGAGTAGAGATGACTTGTGAAACTTCGTGTACATCAAAATGCCTTCAGAACTGGACAGAGTGCAACTTCATAGCAAATCTTCCTTTAGTTATCTAACCTGCATGAGAATTTGTATTCACAGAAGTTATAATTCCCAGCAGAATTATATGTGAAAATCATGATCATTGAGTTGAGGGTTATATGAAACTGAGCATAGGATGTCAATTTGAAGATAATATATTGGTCTGGAGGAATACAGAAATACTATGGAAATCATAAGTCACGACAATTGCTTCCCCGTCTCATAAGCCGCTCTTGCTATTCATGCGACAGATATTGCAGTTTCTTAAAATTAATCTGTAATTGCAAACAGGCCTATTTACCCACCTAACAAAAGGACAGAATATTTTCATGTTTCTTGCAACCGATTAAAATCACTATATGAGTTAATAGCAGACATTAGCGTTATAATACAAGAGTCCAGTCCAGTTTGCGATCCTAACAAATATTATGTTATAATGTAGAATTTCGATCCTTGCAAAAGCGATTGTGAAGAGTTCCATATTCTGTGGATTTTTCAGCAGAAAACATGATGCCACGTCCCAGAAGACAGAACTCTTAATTTCATTATCATGTTCACATCTTCTTCTGAAAACTGTTCGTTTTCCAAGAGGCTTTCCGAGTAGAATTACATATAAATTTCGTCTCGGGCCTTCTATAGCTATGACATGTCTGTATTCGAATTATTAGTTTCTTTATTTATGAACTGATTTAGCCGAAGTTGATCACGCAACACGGTTACCCTGCTGAGACGCACACCGTGGCTACAGATGACGGCTACATCCTCACCATGCATCGTATTCCCTATAGCCCCCTGTCGAACAGCACAGACACAGCGAGGCCGGTCGTCTTCCTGCAGCATGGGCTCATCAGCAGCTCAGTGGACTGGGTCATCATGGGACCAGGAAACGGACTGGGTAGGCTCAAATTTTGGCAAATGTTAACCTCCTGTCTCTTTCTTAGGCCCCCCATACGCACACAGTTTGGCCTTCCGATCGACCTAACAGGCAAAATTTTCACAGTTTACTCTCTCCCTTTGCTTCCATACACGCTCAGATAAACGGGCAGGCTTCATGCCACGGTCACGGTCTTCCAGCCTGTATTACTGAGACACACACGTCAGGTGCTACGTCCTTAGGTAGAATTGATGGACTGAAGGGTTTCCTACAGTTCAACAGTCCAAGCGATTGGCCGGCCGGCCACACCACACACGTCAGTTTTGCCTTTCGGTCTTCAACTGTGCAGGCCGAACGGGAGGCCAAACTGTGTGTGTATGGAGGCCCTTAGCCTCCCAAAGATCTCCCACAAGAAATCCGTATGCATATCTTGTGTGTATTTATGAATTACATAGAAATTATCAAACTAAGCCAGGCTTCGCTCCTTGCCATGCTATTCCAATACTGGAGCTCTGAACGAAGGTGCTGGAAGTCAACAGAGCTAGGAGCACAAGGCGTATACAGATTGTAGCTATAAATTCGGTACCCGAAGAATTGACGGTAAAAGTGGGAGAAACACCTAATGCATGACTTCAATTTTGGATAGAGACGGAAATATCGTACGATGCACGACCTAACGTACACAGCCCCCTTGATACACACCAATGGGCCCCCTTATATGTCGGCTTATCGAGCGTTGATTTCTGTAGCAACAGAAAAGTTTTATAAACACTTGTACTACTAACAGATATTTCTGTAATATGTCACTGCACGTATCTCAGTGACCAAGTTACAATTATTCGCCATTTACCAGCTTGAATCCAAAGTCTAAGCAGCCGCCATGTTATAGTCTTCCATTTTCCTAATAATATCCTAATAAAATCTCATACTTCCAAACTGTATGGTAGTACAAACCTTAGAATAAAAAAAGTAAAATTGTCTCTGTGCTTAACTAACTAAGCACTACGCCATGAAGGCGTATGGGGGAGTTGATGTATAGATCCACACTTTCTTGACCTCGGCACTAGTTTGAGGTGATCCGTCAGCTTCACGCCCCGGCTGCTTTACACCCGGGGAAAGAGCCCCGGTAACCTTTGGATAGGAGGCTCGGTGGGCTCCAGAGCCGGTCTGGGCAACATGGAGAAAAGAAAATTCTTGCCCCCACAGGGACTCGAACTCCATTCCCTTACTCGTCCAGTCCGTAGCTACAGACCTTCAGGTACTATGCTTGAAGGTGTTACTATTTCTCTATTTCATAATTTCGCACAATGGCCACCTGCTGACCGCGGAAATTTAAAAAGAAAAATATCAAGTCAAGGTGTCCTGTGGCATAAAGTTCGTAGAGAGTTCCAAACAAAGCTGAAAAATAGGCCTAAGTGTCTGTAATATCGACAGCTCGCTAAGAGGGAACCGAAGAAGGGAGACTCTTGTAACTGCAATGCTCCAAGTAATGCTACTTCGCCCAATTGAGTAATGCAATGCGGATGTGTGTTTGCCTAGGCTATCTGCTAGCTGACGCTGGGTATGATGTGTGGATGGGCAACGCTCGCGGAAACATGTACTCCACCAGACACAACAAACTTTCGGCAATGCTTCCTACCTTCTGGTCCTTTAGGTATGTCAAATTGCATCTAGTTCCAAGCAACATAGCTCTCCTTCAGAAGCTAAGAGTAGCTGAAGAATGTTATATTTTAGCATCCTGTTGCACTGATTTAAGTCCATGATTTATTTCACCGTCTTCTAGTGCATACACTTATCTACCTCACTCCTCTCTCTCGCACTACCTGTTTCTGCACAAAAGTGCCATTTTCAGGTGCTTATTCGATTAACGTTAAACTAGTTCACTGCATGCCTTGTCGTCTTCATATTAAAATAATTAAAATATATATTTATCATATATATTGATAAATATTAAATATTAAAAATATTAAAATTATTCAGGATTTTTC